TACATTTACACGCTCACTGATATTACACTATTAATTGGGATATGACAATAGTCCAAGTTTGATACAGGTCATGGGAATACATGGGCGTAGATTTGGGTGTCCAACCCCACCCCCCAAAAGCATGAAAGTAGTAGAGGACTCTTGTTTCAATTCACCAGAAGGCAGGAAATTAAGTGACTGATGCTTAAAATTTCCTCTGGAAGAACCCCCAAACCCTCCCTTTTCATTTGTGTCCCCCAGAAATCTACACTCAAGTAGAAGTCCAATTACTCCCATAAAAAATAACTCAAGTACAAGTACAATTAACATTTGAGAAACCTACTCAAGTATAAGCTAAAAAGTACCTGGTTAATAGATTACTCAAAAAATAGCAAAAGCCAAGCAACAAATAAAGATTATTTCATCTTTTCTTCCCTACCCCTCCCTTCCTTATCATAACATTGAAAATTAATGTTGCACATGAAATATTAACATAGCTAAGGTTAGCTTGCTTACTCATTTTCAACTACAGGTTGTGCACATTACTTCAATGTGGGGTTGAAAAGAAAAGTTGTATGTTGTATGTATGTGTAAAATGTAGCATTTGGTCTTAGATGCTTCATTAAAAAAACATCTGAAAAACACATTTTTGAAAAATCCGAGATGCTTTAGGTCAGTCTGGTTTGCAACTGTGGTGCTATCCGGGTAGCCTGGAAATCCAGACCCAAATCTAGAAAGATTTAGGGTCTGGCTATGAGTAATGCAAATGGCCCAACTCGAGGGGCGGCACCAAGCATGCATTTGTAAATATCACTGCACGTAACTGGATAACACTACGACCAATCAGAACAATACACGGGGTGGCGTATACGCTTAGCTACCAGCGGAGCTAACTGGTAGATTAGACTCTTGCCGTATCCGGTCGGCAAAACAGCAAAAACGTCCTTCTTGCAAAGGAAAGATTCGAGCGCCGTCTTCTGTTCCTCTTTTAGAGAGAAAGCCAAGTCTAACTCGTTCATTGTAGCAGCCAAAGCCGTTTCAAACAACTGGTGTTCATCCGTAGCCATCTTGCAATGTTTACTGACTGATTCCGGACTTCGTTGTCGCAGCGCTGTCGTCATCTGTTTAGCTTGCCTCTGGCCCGCGTATATCAGATACACCGATGTGATTGGTGCAGCTCGGCTCCAACAGCATGGGTAATGAGCATCATTACTGATTGCCAGAGTGACTTGCTGAGCAAATTCAAATTGTGCTCTTGCGAGAACTCTGGACTCCAGGGACTATCCGGGTGCGCTCCCCCCAAAACTCGATGGCATCTAGAACAGACTTGCTGTAACGAAGGTATAAATGGCAAATGTAGTGAAGTAAAAAGTAGATTACTGGCTCAAAAATATACTCAAGTTAAGACTAGAAGTGCAGTTTAAAAAAGGAACATGAAAAGCACTCCTTCCTTAAAAAACTACACTTGAAACCTCTGTAAACAGCACATTATGTGTGTTGTAGCAAATTGTAGCAATTTCCATAAAGGCATGTGGAATATGCTGGTATCATTTGAGTTTTAGGAGCATTTCTCGGACAGGTATACATGCATTTGGAATGTGCATCCTGATTGGGGGCTTTACTAGGGGCAGGGGATAAAAATCGGCACAGCATGGTATCGCAATATTTCTGTGTGGCAATATCATATGTCACACAGTGCAAAGTATCGATTTTATCCTATAAATCATTAATATGACAAATGCAGATTAAACTTAAGGTAGTCTACTAGAATGATATAATCAATTACTTTTTGAGTCCACTGGATACATTTTGCTGCTGCCAAAAAAAATAAAAATGGCTCAAGTGAGATGAACAGATTGAAAACTTTTTCTTATTAGATAAAACAGATGCTGACAAAGTTCTCCTCTGGGGACATAATTTACAGTTAAAAAAGGTAATAATCTGCAACATATCGCAATATATTTAAAATCGCAATAATACTGTATCGTGTCTTAAGTATCGTGATAATATCGTATGGTGGATCCTCTGGCTTTATCCCAATTTGGGAAACAGGGCCTCTTGCCTGTTTCAGTCAGCTCTGTGCGTTGCCATGGATACGCTGTACCCAAATGAACTAGCCAACAGTTTGCAAGGCCATGGGTTAGAGATGCATGCCCAAAAGAAAAGCTGAGGGAGAAACACACCTACTTTTAAATGTTACAAGAAGAATATCAACAGGTTTTTGTATATGTGCAAATATTAAGTATTTATTAGGAGATACATTATGAGACACCTTACATTAATATGAGTATGCATGGCTGCATGAAAACAAGAATATTACTGGAATATTCAATTTAATTACCCATGTAAACAACATGAAAGGAATATTAGACTGACACCAGAATATTTTGCATATGTAAACGTAGTCAGTGTAGACTGTATGTTAAACACATATTAACAGCAAATGTTGAGGAAAATGTGAGTATTATCTAAAGTTTAATTATATATTTTCTTTGTTATGTTAGAATGAAGGTATGACGCAGGATTTTGAGTTAAGAACTCCACACACCTGTTCACCTATGTTCACAGTCACTAAGTGAATGACTCAAGTTGTTTGCTGCAAGTGTGGTGGATGTGCAGACATGTTGCTTTAATTGATCACGTCAGTCAGTTAATGACCTGATGTCTCATCCCTGACAGAGCAAACATCAGACGCAGACACAATGAAGAGAGCAATGAAAAGTAATAAATAACACGGACACAGAATTCACATGTAGAGGTGAGTACATAACCAAAAGCTGGGTGTAAAACTATCTGTGAGAGAGAGATTAAAAGAATGAGGGTGAAGGGTAGAGGGAGAGTCAAGGAGAGGGAGTGGAGGTTTCAGCGAGGAGACAGAGGAAGGAAAGTAATCAGTGGTGAGGTGCAATTGTTTTGGTGACAGGCTGCACTTGAAGGACTCTTAAGTCAGGAAGTGTGATGACTGGTAGTTTGTATCTTCTCTTTATCTGACAAGGTGTGTGTCAACACCGGAGAGGCTTGTAGAATGGAACAGAAGATCCCACGATGACGGCCTGTGTGTGTGTGTGTGTGTGTGTGTGTGTGTGTGTGCGCTCAGCCTCATGTTGCTGTGAATTCCATATGCAGGCGTGTGTTTACACCTGTTAATAACCTCAGCATGGCTGTGGTGCTTTTTCAGACCTGTGAAAATATTTTCTGTTTAAGTTGGTCTTTGGTTTCAGTCGTGTAAACTGCTGGCCAGACACCGAGACAGCCTGAAAAGTAGGCACGCTTTGAAAGATAAATCCAACACATACATGCCCAGTATGTGAATGTATTCAAAACTTATTTGAATAGATTTTGTACCTGCTACATGATACATTTATGGGTGAATGCATGTGAATGGAATTTTGTGTTATTATTTTTATTTCAAGTTTCCCTCATTCAGAGGAAGTAGACACAGTCCTCTATTGTTGGTGCAGTCAGAGTTGCTTTCTGTAAATATTTCCCAGGTGCTCTGGGGATTTAAAGCTATGGTCTACGTTTAGAAAAAGATTGATCATTATTATTAACATCATTTAGATGGTGGTTATAGTGCTAGCTACACAATTTGAAGAGCAAAAGGAACCAAAAAAATCCATTCTCTCTGGCGGCTGCAGGCCTGCAAAGAAATTGACCAATCACAGCCATCCGGTCCGCATGGGAGTTACTCCTTGCTCAAATTTGCACTCTCTCTCTCTTACCCTTCGTCCAATCCCCTCGCTCCATTTTGACACTCCTCTGCTCCTCGTCCCATCTCGTCCCAACCCCCCTCCGCATTTGAAAGTACGAGCGGTTTGTAAGGCCCTGAGCGATTCAGCTACACGAGTTTCGATATGGAAAATAAAGAGAGCGACAGCAGCAAGCAGCCTCTGCTTGCCCCACCGGCAAAGGCCGAAAGGAAGCGTAAGTCTGCCTCTGAAAAGGCAGAAGCGAAGAGGAAATGCGACAAATTGAGGGCTCAAAGCAGAGTAAACATCGGGTCATCCTTTGACACACAGAGCAATGAAAATAATAAATACAATAAATGTGTGTCGTTAGGAGGCTCCAAGGGGAGGGGGAAACGAGCTCAGAGGGGAGGGATCATGGAGCACAGAGGGAGGGGTGTAGGGGTGTGTGTGTGTGTGTGTGTGTGTGTGTGGGGGGGGGGGGTGCTTTTTTCAAATCTTTCTCATTGTCTTTCTAAACGTAGACCATACCTTTAAACAGGCAACCTGCCAGTCATGAGACTGACTCTCCAAGTGCTCAGCGGCCACATATTATGCACATGTACGTGCTGACGTGTGCTCCTGTGAATTCCCGTGTGCATGAAAAAAGTGGGTGTGTACATTCTTGAACCCATGTGTTTGTAGGTCATGTTTGCATGTGTATATGTACTTCTCCTTGTAAACACAAATGAGAACTCTGCAAATTCCTTATTCCTCACTCACAACCATCTGCTGTAAATCTATTTCTGTTTTTCTTAACATTTCTCTCATTGTGGTTTCCCTGTTCTTTTTTTTTTAATATATTTGCTTCTGTTGAGTTTTTTTGTGCAAAGCACCTTGAGTTTTAGTAGGATTTTCCTTGAAAAATACCCCTTTTTACAAGATGCCGATCGTTTTAAACAGATTTTCAAATGAGTTTTACGTCCTCAAACATCCAAAAGTGTTTCCTCCTACAATCAGACACTTTTCCCGTCAGATTACCATAAACAAGGAAAGCTTAGAAAATGTTTCTGGTAGTGGAAAATAAAGAGAAAATAGGGAAAAAACATGAAAATTAGATGTTAATTATCCCTGAAAATTATTAATTAAACCGCAAATGGTTAAACTGCACTGAATTTACACTGTAAATGGTACTTTTAATAATTGAAATTTAATTTCTAAAATACTGTTACTATCATTATCCAGTCAGTGACCCTTTACTGTATTTTTGATTTTTTTTTAACTGTAAATAACAGGACCTACAGCATCTGAGGAACTACACAGTGTAACTTTAGATTCATCTTCTGATACACTCACAGTGAGCTGGGCCGGATCTGCCGGGTGTCTTGCTCTCCGTCATTGCTGGTCAGGCTGTGTCTTGGGGTTCGACCTTGGCTGCTGCTGCTGCTACTGCTGCTGCTGTTACAGTTGGCCGAGGAGGAAACCGGCTGCGGCAGCTCGGCAACTGTGGCGTTGACAAGACTGTTCTTCTTTTCACCTAGAAGAATAAAAAAAGATTTACAAACTTTTCAGTAATTTCAGCCTAAAAAGTCTTGTCAATTTTCTCTGCAAGAAGCCATTTTTATAGTGACATGCTTTTTCCTCTTTTAGAACAGTACGTCTGTTCACCAGAGTGAAGTTTACCGTAGCAGGTGCGAGCCAAATCAAATGGAAAAATAAAACAACAAAGGAGAGGGAAACAGTCTATCAAAAATTAGGTGCTTCAGCTCACCTTTCTGGGAATGTGTTGGTGTGTGGAAGAGTGTGAGAGGCCTCTCGCTGCAGGACGGGGCTTTGCTCTCTGTGCTTCTCCTCCTGGACAGGTTGAGCTGCATGTTGGTCGGACCGCCTGCCGAAGTTGGCATGTCCCTGAATATCTGCACACACAAAACAGACAGTCAAGTGTGAGTACAGCCAAAGAAACAATTTATAAAGTCACAAAACAAACATGCAGGTAAAAAGTTACAGAATTTATTTGTTTTTCTCCAGTAAACAACATGTGTACAGCATGTTTTTGGTGCTGTCCAACAATTTATGGTCTCATATGTAACTGCAGGGAAGTCAGGGAATAGCTTATCACAAGACAAAGATCACTAAATTGTGCTTAAATGTAAAAACATGTTCACCTTTGCAAGACTGTGATTTGATAGAAAAACAGTACTAAAAAAATCTGCACATCTAATACTAATTTCTGGATTCATGCTACTGAGCTGCAGCCTTCACAGCTTAGATGCTACTTAAACAACGAAGCTGCTTGCTGCTTTGTGTAAAAGTTCTATGAATAATTACATGTGCAGAAACGTAACAACAGGGGACATTGTGGGCTTCTGTCTGTGATTTGTGGCACTTATCATGACATTGGTGAAGTGCATTTCTACTCCTTGAGGCACAATTATGCAAGATGCAGAGAGCACCATGCTGTGATAAAAATATATGGTACTGCAATGTGTTTTTTTGCTCCTCCTCAATTACATATCTCCGTATTTTTCAAACTTTTTTTTCCACTAATGCTGCTGTGCTTGTATTAGTATTTTTTTTCAGCTTAAGTAAAAACATAATCATTCCCACATCCATTCAACTGTCATCGCCTTTTTCCTGCTTTTCAGCCAGCTCCACACCCTTAGTTCCACTCGAGAAGAAAAGAGGAGGAAAAAACAGACTGGAGTGCTGATAACTCATTTTAAAGCACACTGGATTTGCTGTTTTGGATGCAGAAAAGCGCGACAAACTGTAATGAGCAGGATCACATGAAATCTACAAATGTTTCAGTACAGAACAGGAGCACATCACAAAGCTCGAGTGCATCATTTCAATGCTGTTTACATCAAAATGAAATCTTTTCATTTTACCAGGCGGTTATATTGTCATGGGAAGATGATAAAAAGCTCTTCACTCAAGCTGAATTCAGCGAATAAAATGCACAGGATTTCTGAAATATGGGTCTAATCCTCCTTTTATTTGTGGAGAGAAGGCAGATAAGCGAAGCGCAGAGTGTCATTATTCTGCAGGTGTACAGCAGAAGGCGGTGACACGAAGACCGTGATGAGATCTCTTTAAGGATTCAGAGCCCCTCCATCACAGCATGTATACTGTATTTGTTTTGTTTATGCACACTGCACTCGAGACAGCTGCTGCCTGGGACGTCTGGATGCGGGACAGGTGTGTGTGTGTGTGCGTAACCAGTCTGTGTGTTAATCCGCACACAGGTGTGGGATATGTGTCATTTGTCTGTGCGTCTGATCATTTGTTTCCTCCACTGGCTGAACGTACCATGTGTGCACAATTCTAGGTTCTGAAACAGTCATGTTGACTTGTCTGTTGCCATGGTGACATCTGTAAGCAGCTTGGCCTGCCAGTTAGCTATTTGGATCTAAAAGGGGAAGTAGCTTTAAAGTGTATATACAGTGGAGGGCATAGTTATGGCTTGTGTATGTGTGTGTGTGTGTGTGTGTGTGTGTGTGTGTGTGTGTTGGGGTGTGTGTGTGTGTGTGTGTGTGTGTGTGTGTGTGACAGGTGCTCATTCAGATATAAAAATTTGGTGAATTAAAGGGATAGTGCACCCAAAAATGAAAATTCAGCCATTATCTTCAGGACACTTGGATCACTACAGACGAGCAGTATGGAGATATTTTGTGGTTTCAATTATGTGTTTTTGGACGTTTGAATCTGGGGCGCCGTAAGCCTCCATTAGGTGGAGTTTTGTTGCTACCCCCTTTCCCCTTGGATCTCCGGAAGTGTTGTGAGGACTCTAAAACTTCACCTGAGCCTCCTTCAGCATATGGGTGAGTAGATAATGGCTGAATTTTCATTTTTGGGTACACTATCCCTTTAACTGTTGTCTGAATGCACAATTAAACAAAAGGTAATCCCCTCCACAAAGCCAAAGGATTCATTTAATCCTCAACCACGCCACCAAACCCTGTTGCTCGTGTGATTCATTTGTATAAACTCATACTCGCACCCTCTTACCTTGTCATGGTGCTCAATGAGGATCTCCACTACAATGTTCTGGAACTTGATGTCCATGATGGCTGCCACCGTCTCCTCCTGCGGGCGGAGCAGAGTCGGCCCGAAGACCACACCCAGGTTGGCGATGGTCATCAGGTTCTGCTGGTGGTGACTGGCCACTCTGTCGAGGTGAGGGGAGGAGTAGACAGAGAGTTAGTGAGTCCTATTTATAACAGTGTGGGGGGAGGCTGAATAACAGAACACCTCTCTGTGTATAGCAGCTCCACAACACCACAAACTGCATCCTCCAATGTGACCATAAAGTTGAATCAACACCTCTTTAAAATGAACATCATAGCTTTTATGACGGTAGGATTTATTGTTGTACTAGAATGCATTTAGCAGACAGAAAGCTGAGGAGAGCTAAGGTGTGTTTACTATGATCCAGTCATTCAGCCTATAAGCCATTGATGATGATTATAATGACCGCAGGCAGGTATAATCCACTAAACCCAGGTAAAGATGTGCATGTCTTAAGAATGCATTCGCGCCCGCCTACGTGTTGTATAACCCTGGCTGATGTCCCATTTGTCACACATTATATCATGCTGCTGCTGTTGAAGAAAAGCCTGATAAAGCCAGAGGGCTTAGACGAGGGTTTGGAGTGAAAACACAATGCCAGTCAGCTGCTTTGGAGGAATAATTACACATAAGCCAACTGTGCCGTGCCCTGCTTTTTAGCTTATAGGCTGCAGCAGCTTGTGGTTATGTAATCTACAGACAGACAACCTGTTTGATTCATGACATTTTTCTTTTCTTGTCTTGACAATATATCGTTGCCTCCAGTATAAAACCAACCAAAATGTGGATGCAAAAGTGGGATTTGAAGTCCTGGGAGGGGAAAAGTGAAGAGGTAATAGTCGGGGAAAGGCTTTCATAAGAAGAAAATGAGATCTTTGCAGGAGTCTTACAACTGACTTACTGAACCCAATCACCCAGAGTGCTCATCAGCATTCGCCCCACTGAAATGTCCTTGAGCAAAACATTGAATTACAATCAACTCAAAGGGTGAGTGGCATCCTTTTATCTACCAGTTATTTTTCAGAAATCATCTCGATTATAACTGGGCTAAATTAGTTTGAACATTTCGGTTTCTGAACATTTACGTAACATAAAATTGTTTCAACAGCACTGATGTCTTTGCTGCAGATTGAAATATAGTAATTTCAATCCTGTTCACAGAAGAGTAAACTAAATGTATGAAAAACTAGCTACACACTGGGACATCGTTTGCCCTGCAAATCACCAAATTAGTCCTCAATGGGCTGCGACCATGGTAGCTCCTACGCTTCCTGGCATCCACATAAAGACCTGCACCTGACCATTAACCCCTCTTTCCCTTCAAGGGATAAGTTGGAAAATAGATTTGCCCTGATGACTGCTGGATGGGTTTCTATTTTGAGAGCACACTGCCTTAATGCATGTGGTCAAGAGATTACATAGAGCCCTAATCCTCCTCAAGGATGGACAACAACAACAATCAAGATTAGGAGTATTACCGTGGTGTGGGTGTACAAAGAGGAGAGGGCATGAGAGAAAAGGATTGCCGTTAACACGACATAGGAACTGCTAAAATTAAATCCTGTGATGTTTCGTAGGTGCACAATGTATAATACAGCATAATGAATGACTGCAGTTGTCTGTGTGTGATGTGTCCACCTACGTGGCCAGGTGTTTCATCAGCAGCTCCAGCATCTGTCTGTTCTTCTCAGGCAGCCGGTGCACCAGCGCATGGATCTCTGTCACTCGGGCCTCTTGGTTATCCAACTCTGGACAAAGACAGATAAACGGACAGACACACAAACGGTTAAAGACTTGAGCGAGTCACATTTGATGATTGACACATACATACACCGGTACAACATTGATCACCTTGTAACAATGCAATGTTCTGCTGGAAAACCTCAGGGTTCTGACATTCATATGGTTGCCACCTAACATGCGCCACCCACCTGAACACCAGTGCAGAATAGGTACCCCTCCTTATGTCAGCGGCACTCCCCAGTAGCAGTGCCCCCCCCCCCCCCCCCCCCCCCCCCCCCCCCCCCCCCCCCCCCCCCCCCCCCCCCCCCCCCCCCCCCCCCAGCAGGACAGTGCGTCATGCCACACAACAAAAACTGCTCAGGAATTGCCTGAGGAAGGTGACAGAGCTCAAGGCGTCAACCTGGCCTCCAAATTTCCTGGATTCGATTTGATCAAACATTTGTCGGACGTGCTGGCACTCCATCTCACAACCCACAAGTCTCAAAAGATCTGAAGCCAACGCCCTGGTGCCAGACACCAAAAGACACCCTCCAGAGTTCCAAAGGTTACAGTGCAAAGGTTTTGCACTGTAACAAGATGATCAATGTTATTCACTTCACCTGCCAGTGGTTTTAATGTTCATCTAGTCTTGTTATAAAGATGATGCATACTGTGGTCATTATATATATTTAAAAGACCTTGGTATAGACACAAAGGGTAAGTACACCTGCACTTACGCTTGGTAAGAATGAGCTAAGAAATGAAAAGAACATAAGGTTCATATCATTCCATTCAGCGGATCCATCATGCAGAGGTCCTCTTAGATATAATATGTACAGTACAGGCCAAAAGTTTGGACACACCTTCTCATTCAATGCGTTTTCTTTATTTTCATGACTATTTACATTGTAGATTCTCACTGAAGGCATCAAAACTATGAATGAACACATGTGGAGTTATGTACTTAACAAAAAAAGGTGAAATAACTGAAAACATGTTTTATATTCTAGTTTCTTCAAAATAGCCACCCTTTGCTCTGATTACTGCTTTGCACACTCTTGGCATTCTCTCCATGAGCTTCAAGAGGTAGTCACCTGAAATGGTTT